TGCTGCTTTTAACTCACATTCACGGAAATCTGCAGCACTTGGAATGGTCAAACTAAGCCTGGATTACTTCTGAAATCATTACAGATTCCATAAAACTCTGTATTGTTCAGTTTGTTGAAGGGTAATTGTTTTTGTTTGCTTGTTCACTACATCAGACAGAATTGGTTATTCTACTCCACGTCACTTCAAATTTTCTAAAACACGATTTGTGATTTTCATAATTTAGTTTGCGAAAACTCAAAACATTAGAATATATTTATTTATTTATTTATTTATTTATTTATTTAGCAATTATGCAAAATTAATTCAGAAATGTAGGATTATACTCCTCCGTGGCCACAGTTTTCTTTTCTTTCACTCTCCAGTAGCCTTAATTCTTTGTCACATTACATTTAATCCCGAAAGCTGAGACACCTACAAATGGCACTCTCAGGCTTCCATACATAACACTGTTTCCCTTCAAAACAAATGTCAGTTTGCGCCCGTAAAAGAAAGCGACCCGTTACCATAGAAACGACGAGAGTTTACTATAGAAGCGAATTACATTCAGAAAAAAAAAATAAATAAAAAAAAATAATCTGGAGGCCGACGGAAACATAGCAAAAATGTTTTCCAAAATGACCAGCGACCGGAAGGTTTGTCCGTAAGTTCTCCCCCCCGCCTCCCCCGAACCCCATGCGAAGTTCAGCCGAACCCGGTCCGGTCCGGTCCGTCGTGGACAACACGTTTGTTCTATGTTTGTGTTTGCAGGACGATTAATCCGACTGTCAAAGCCGCGATGACAGGACGGGACTTTATAGCAGCGCAGATGGAGCTGAGGCAGATGGAACAAGATCGGGAGCAGCTCAAGCAGAAGGCCCATGAGCGGAAACAGGTTTGGGACGGTCTGTCCAGCGGTTCTGATCCAGCTGAAGGAGACACTGTCCTAACGACGCTGGTTTTAATTCTGCTGCTTTTAACTCACATTCACGGAAATCTGCAGCACTTGGAATGGTCAAACTAAGCCTGGATTACTTCTGAAATCATTACAGATTCCATAAAACTCTGTATTGTTCAGTTTGGTGAAGGGTAATTGTTTTTGTTTGCTTGTTCACTACATCAGACAGAATTGGTTATTCTACTCCACGTCACTTCAAATTTTCTAAAACACGGTTTGTGATTTTCATAATTTAGTTTGCGAAAACTCAAAACACTAGCTTTTTTTTTTTTTTTTTTTTTTTTTTTTTTTTTTTTAAAGTTTTTTTTTTTCCTTAAAACCCTTTTCGCCCACCGGGAGACACACGTAACGCCACGCNTTTATTTTTTTGAGTTGCACTAACAAGACAGATGGACAGAACCTTCCAACGTTTGGCTGCTGCAGCCAGTGGCGGAGCTAGACTTTTAAAGTTGGGGGTGGGGGGGGGGCAAGGAGGGCCAGGACTACCTCTGGGGGAGTAAAATTTAAAATGTGTGTGCGCACATCTATATATCTATCTAGTCGATTATATATATATATAATTTTAAAAAATAACCAAACTGAATATTTGGGCTTATTTTTTTAAGCCCCTCTGTCATTTGACAGGTTATAATTAACACCTTTGACTGGTTCACATGGAGACATGACAGACTTTACGCAAAGAGTTCATCGCAGAGGCAACTAAAATCAATCAATAAAAAAATCCTTTCTGAATATCATCTCATGGACACTGAACTAAATGCGTCTTTCAGACCGGGAGCTGACAGCGTGTTGAAGAGTGATGGACAGGACACCTTGGTTAGGAAGCTCATTGCAAATCTTTAGTTGAAATGGCGCCTTTAACTCCAGTCTCCAGTACAGAACAGAGAAAACTAAAGACAATGCAACGTTGTTTTAATCCATTTATAGTCTAAACAGAGGAGCCAGCAATTTATTTTGAGGAAATAAATAAAGGTGCAGAAGTTAATTAGATCCATGCGCAGTCCGTTGCACAACCAATGCGGACGTGGCTCCGCCGCTGCGAAGAATTAAACTTAACACGCCCTGCAGTTTTAACAAAAGGAGTTGAAGATGTTTCCCTCCCGCACCCAGAAGGAGAGCGATGCTCAGAAGGAGCGCGGCAGACGTAACATCTGTCCGTTTTGGAGAAGCGAAACCATGCAAAAAATAAAAATAAAAAATCCTGGCAAAAACGCACGCCCGAACCACGCACAAGGTTAAAAAAAAAAATAAAAAATCTCGCAAAGTTCAATTGTTCAGTTTGGTTCGATACAGATCCAACTGTCGATGAACCAGTGCAGATTTCTCTGCAGATGCGACCAGGAAGAATTTGTGAAGCTGTGAGTTCAGACCGCAGCGGCTGAATTACTGGTAATTTAAGTGGAGTCGCTTAATTTCATTTGTTATAAGTTATTGGAGCCACAGCCAGTGGTTTGTGCATTTTTCTGTTTTATGTGTGATGGGAAATATACAATATATAGTTACACTGCTTACGTTAATGGTGTTTTAAAAACAAAACCAGTAAAAACTTAACTGAGTTAATATGTCAGATTCCCTCCTCACCCTCGTCTTGATAAGACCAGAGAGCAGTCCGCTGGTTTCGTGTCCAGACTGTAATAAAGCGCAGCTGACACTTGGTGCGCAGACAGTTTCAACTTTACGCACAGAGAACATCACGGAGCTCATTATTAATCATACTAAGAATAATATCTGTCAGAGAATCATCTCTGATCTGGACGCTTTAACGGACCAGAGGCTTTGGAGCGTCTAGCGCAGCTGATCCGCTTCTGCGGGGTTTTTCTCCCGCCGAGAGAAGTGAGTGCGGGATCAGGAAACGATCAGAGTTCTGCCGTCTTCTAATCACTTCATTTCGTGAAATGTTACCTGATTTCAAAAACGGTCTCGCAGAGAAATACTAAATGTTTTGTTTGATGACTACAAATTGGAAATAAAATTATTTTTTTCTTTGGCGGACAACGAAAAAACTCCAGCGCAACCTCTGCTCCAAACTACGAACATTGTCGGCCCTCTTCGTTTTTTTTGTGGAGGATCAGTAAATAACTTATTGGTGTTTTACAACCACCAGGTATGAAGTGCTTTAGCCTTTGAGTTGCACCACAGCGCAGCACATTTGAAACATCCAGGAGAACAATGTCAGCTCGTTTTTATGAGTACAAGTATAAAGGAGGCTGGTATCGCGCCTGATATAAATTTATTTATTTATGTAATCACATAGACTTATGTAAAGTTTTATACATTTTCTTTTCATATATTTTTTATTGTTTTTCTTCTTTAGATATTAGGTTGGCTTGGAATGATTCCAAATAATGTACAGGAATGACCTGGTGCAGTTACATGTCAATTATCAGGGGAGGTCACTAGGGGGGCCAATCAGATGACAGGGGGGGCACTGGCCCCCCTGTCCTCCCTCTGGCTCCTCCTCTGCAGAAGACCCATGAGCAGAAACAGGTTTGGGATGGTCTGTATAGCGGTTCTGACCCAGCTGAAGGAGACACTGTCCTAACGACGTTGGTTTTAACTTTGCTGCTTTTAACTCACATTCACGGAAATCTGCAGCACTTGGAATGGTCAAACTAAGCCTGGATTACTTCTGAAATCATTACAGATTCCATAAAA